ACTGAAACTGCCTGTACAGAATCTGTAAGCCTAATATTATAGGCACTATAAGGCTTGAAAGTACCTATTCTATGACTATGAGGTACTTAACGATGAATAGTTAAAGAAATATAGTAATGCCCCTGTAACACCTATACTTTAAATGCGAGAGAATGTATGTTGTAGTGCTTGCATAGAACTTGGTGTCGTAAAATGCAATATAAAAAAACAACTGGAACTTCTTTTAGAGCATAGATTCAGTTTGCCTGGCCGAAGTTATTGCCTTGTGAACTGAGGAAGAGTAGAATAACCTGAAGACTCTCGCAACTGGGCCGCAATAGAACATTAGTGAGGGATCCATAGGAGCCTAAGAGCTTCCACTAGCGAAAAGTCACTTTGTTTAACTTGGTCTCAACCAAGGCTGATTGAAACACTAATGGTTGCATATTAATGGTTGCACATGTTGGTTGTGCACCACATAGGAAATTCGAGAAAGCTACAGCCAATGTTAAGAACACACATACTAGTATGTTCCATAAGTGCTTCAGCCACAAGTTTCACCAACTTCTGCAGCCTTTTGAACAGTTAATATGAGCATGCCTTAAAGCTCTAGCAATTTTTCGAAAGTACACATTGAGGCATAGGCACAATGTCATGCTACACAAAACACGTTGGATGCATAAGAGGACCAGCAATACTTTGTTCTCATGCCACACAACATGCAGCACACAAACATCATGGGCATGTTTTGAATAGGACATATTGCAGTGGGCAAAGGAAGAGCAGCTCAGATACAACAGCTGCTTCAATGTTGCAATGTCTCAGGTTCATCGTATTCTGTCAGTCACACGCAATGCCAAGATGGCCAACCAGCAAACTATGGCACCGACTAAAAAAGTCACAAAGTATCCACCCCGAGAAGTCAAATGCATTACCCTGCTTTTCCTCAAAATAACGTTTGTCCTCCCTCTTCCTAATGTAGAGTATATAATACAGTGTGGCCTAAGTCAACATCTGAAACAACAAATTTATTTTTAAAAGCACCTCTTTATTATGAAGATGAGTCAGATGGCCTAATATCTGTGATAGACCATGGCAATCACAATTGTGGCAGAATAAACTTTGAGTGATTGCAATCATACAGTACATGATGCTTTAGGTATCGTGCACTATATGTAAATGTTTCACGTAATACCTTCAAACATCATTTAGAACCTTCACAATGTCCCTAATTTGAAATAACTGTGTAAACATTTTTAAATATTTATTTCCAGGAAAGCACTACAAGAGTGAAACTTGCAATGCTGTTTAGCTTGCAGAACATTGGTCCGCTAGCTAGACTAGACTAGTCAATACTGATGGTACTGAATTGCAAACAAAGCTATACATTGACACTATATGAGCTTTATGTCTTGGTCTAACCTGTGTTTATACGTTTGTGCTTCAATAGCATGATTATTTAGCATGCCTTAAACTTTAGCTTCTGCTCTCAATTTAAGAAACTCATGCAGGAGCATTGGCAGAGTTTCATGTAAGGGAGGAAAAAAAGAGGGGAGGGGGTAACTTGACCTCTTATATGTAAACATATGCACATTTGTGCACACGCATTATATGTGCACATATACTATAAATTTTTCAACGTATGATTGAACCCACCGCCCAATCTCTCCCCTGTTCCGCTTATGAACTGATGCTATAAAAAAATAAATGAAAGTTACAGTGCTTTTATTAATGATAACAAGGCAGGTCCTACACTTCTCAGCTTATTCCTAAATACTTTAATGGTATGATGAATGTCATATAACTAGACATGAAAATTTGATATGTGGGGTTTAACGTCCTAAAATCACCATATGATTATGAGAGACGCCGTAGTGGAGGGCTCCGGAAATTTTGACCACCAGGGGTTCTTTAACGTGCACCCTAATCTGAGCGCACGGGCCTACAACATTTCCACCTCCATCAGAAATGCAGCCCCCGCAGCCGGGATTCGATCCCGCGACCTGCGGGTTAGCAGCCGAGTACCTTAGCCACTAGACCACCACGGTGGGGCAGAGATGAAAATTTAATGACCAAGAAAAAGCTAAGAAGTAGAAAACACTAGTTGAGCAAGTTTCACACACCTACCCCTCGAACAGCTACCCAACTACGAAAAATCAGTAGTAAATAAATTAGAGATTCACAAGTGTGAGATTACATAGGCATACACATGCATTGCACGCCTATACCTAAGTACGAGACAAATACTTCAATCTGATGAAAAATCCTATAATCAGAAATTCATCACACACAAAGCCATAATTTTAACCTACAAAACATTTACCAGCAGCTTTGGCTCCACCACTGATACCAGAAAATCAACCAGTGCTCATTAAAGCTGACAAAAATTGTTATCTCCTAGAGAAGTACTACCATAATCATCAATAGGTTACATTAAAGAGCTTATTGCCTCACGAATCGGCTGCTGCAAAACGTCTAAAATCTATCCAATATGAGCAGTGTTACAGTTTTGTTGCCTCCACTTTCTCTCTCTTTTCATACCAGCGAGCATGCTGTAAGCTGTAAAATAGGGGGATTCCAAGAGGGCAAAAATATGCGTCTATTCTTCAGTGTGCGTCATCGCATAAGCAATTTTTTTTCTTTCTTGAAACGCACGACTTACTTTCAGTGTGATCGCGTGAGAGCGGACATGCAGTGGGATCTTACGGTGGCCATGGTAACTATGCATCTCACGATGCTTAAATCAGCCAATGACTGTGAGCTTTGGGTTTATGGCACAGTCATTTGGGTCATTCGTTGAGAGAAGAGGAAATGGTGTCCAGCTGACTGATAAATGTTTGTTATTTTCAGGCCGCGTCCTGCACTATAAAATTTGGCTCATGTGTTCAGGAATCTTGAATACCAATCAGCACAGTTTTCTGACCATGCTAAAAAAGTGTTAAAGGGCCCTTATAAAATGGCCTAGTGACAAAATTCGAGCAAGCCTTTTCAATCCAATCATCTGATGCTCTGGAATGTGCCGATACCATTGCATGAGTGGTAACGCCAGAATGGAAGCCGCGTAATTTTAATTCACGGGACAAACTACCTTGATTTCGGACTACGGTGACACACATCAGCTATTTTTGTTATGGGAAGTGACGTCATGTCATGTGACGTGACAACAAAGGCCATTAGTTTTTACTGGCTTGGCACGATAAGTAGCATGCGATATCCATATGCTAGTAGTAGCTAGGCCATATGAGCGAATAGTAAAAACAGTAAAAACCCTTTTTATACTTTTCTCTCATAAAAAAAAGTACTGTTTCTAAATTATTTATTTTTATAACAACGAACACGACACCTAGTCTGTGAAGGCAGCCTTGGTATGCCAGCAACTAAAGGTAGCAATGCTTGCCACATTTTAGTGAGCCAAAAATGAGATATGGCCTTAGGATATTTTATGTCAGTGCGTTAACAATTATACGAACACACTCAGCTGAATGTTGCCACTGCCGTTATGTCCCATATATACATATAAACGCACAAAGAAAAATAAATCAGAACAAAAGGAATGGCAAGGCATCACACCGGGGATTCGAGCCAGCGACTCCTCGCTCCTCAGTCCGCTGCTTTAACAAACAAGGCCGTGCCACTCATGCTATCCGTCTCACTAACGGCGAGCTACATATAACATCATTTACCACTGGCTTACTGTCAATGGACATGCAGCCGGACGTTGATTATCTGAAACTTTTGTTTATTCCTAGGGCAATCAATTTCTACCTCATGCCTTTGAAAAAAAAATTTTCTTCATATCAACCACCAGTTTTATGGCCCATCCCCCATGGTGGGTGGAAGCCACATATCAAGGAACAAGCAAGCAAGGAAGCGAGCTTACTCCTCCGTCCAGCTGCTTTTGGCGTTGACACCAACAATGCAATGTCTGGGACAATCTGAGGTGGGCACTTTGAAGAGCATCGGGACTGCACTTTTCGCTACTCTCCCCAGTATCGACTAAAGCCATGGAAGGAAATGCCCGACAAACGCCCGTGAAAATGCTGTATGTAGATCGGCCTTTCTGATGCCATCGTGTGTTGTACAAACACCTGTGGAACAGCTCCAATAGAATGCAGCTCCAATAGAATGCTAGTCGCACTGAACCAAGGCAGGCTCGTATACATGCCCAGACACAGGAAGAACGTGCTGCTGTGCGTGTGAGACGCTGCAGCTTAACACACATTTGACCATGTTCACTACATTTTGTATGGTTCCTAAATATCCTAGCTTTACTTCGTATAACAGTACAATGAGCTGCTATGGCATTCATTTCTTCGGCCTTGTGCCAAAACTGCACTTTTTGAGAGTCCCTAGCTCTAACAAAATGCTAACAATTTCAAAACTCAAGGAATATATGCGCCATTCTTCATGTAGAACTTTTAGTATACTATTTCTGCAGTAGTTCCGTGGTAAATTTTCACCGAATGTTATTATTATGCCGACATGAAAGTAAATAATTTCATTCTACACTAAATATGCAGTGTACATAATAAGTACGTTAGAGAAGACACTACACTAAACATGTTTTGGGATTTACAATAGTTTGTACCAGAGCAGACCTTGGTCACATCTTTCCGAATTATTCAGACAAACACAGGCATGCATGGCAAGGGCCTGAACAACAGGAGTGTTGCGGAGGCTGCTCTGCACAGCTTGCAGCCAGACTACAGCACTGCGTAGTGGAATGTGCCAGGAAGGGCTCGATGAAGCACAAAAAAATCCGGCTGTTTAGATTCTGCATCTTCTTACCCCTCCCTCCTTACCTCACCAGATTCTCTCATGAATCAATAAAGCTGTTTACCTACCCGCCTGCCTTAAACAAGGCTGATAGAACACCCAAACACTCAATATTGTTAAAATGAAAACGATCCCAATACAAGAAGTGGCAGATCTTAATGAGCTCCCAGTTACAAGTGACAAAACTTTGTACAGAAATGCATGTTCACCTAACACACCACGAAAAAGGAGCTGCTAAAACTTACCAATCCATTCATGTTCCACGTAGCCACAAATACATTGACCTTTCTGTCTGAGAAGTAACGGTTTAGTTCTTCTTCACCAAGCAGTGACCCCTTGCCACTGATGTTTCCGACCAGGTATCTCCTAGAGATGAATCAAAATGGCAAAGTTCAGGCAGCAAGCAATTTGTATTATTTACTGCTGCTTGAATAATGATTTATGCTAAAGCTTTCACCATTCATAATTCCTTATGAAAGTCACCTAAATAAATAAACATTTTTACATTTACACAGATGGAACACTGTAGAGCACAGGCGCAGAAGGTGACATTAACTTTCCTAATGCCTTAAAATTTAATGCCATTTGCGCAGCACTCAAAGGGAAATCACACAAGGACTTAATGCTATTCATCAGCTAATGCCTTCACTGGAACATATTCGACTGAGAAATGTGTTTCTGTCGACTCCAAGGCATGCACTGTGTAGCATGCATACACCATTTAAAACAGCCAGCATCTCCCATGTTATACTTTATTATACAGCTTTTACCAAATCACATCATTTTCAAAAGAAAGGCAAGAAGTGAAGATAGCAGCTTGCAATGAGCAATTCGTAAACAGGGGGCCAGAGCTGGAGCAGACGCTTTGTCAAGTGGACTTTCTGTGTTACAGCCTTGAAAAAGAGAAGTCCACTCGTTAAAACGTCAGCTCCAGCACTGGCCCCTGTTTAAGGCGCCGTTTACACTAGAGAGACACAACACGATTTTGGTCTGCGGGCTGTCTTTAGGAAGTGTCTTTTCTCTTGACGTCGGCATATGTACACTGCAAAGACACAAGCAGTCTGCCGTTGGTCTCCCGAAGGCCCTGCCTGCGTCTTGTCGTGCTCACAGTCTTTCGTTGCCCAATTCTGCAGTCACATTGGGGGCACACGCAGCGACACCGGCTAAACTTGAACCCCTGCACCTCATTTTCAGCCATGCTCTCTGCTCTAAATTGTCCCTCTCCTGTTACTCGGCGCTGCCCCGGCCATAATCCACGGTAACGATGGACGAGGTTAGGGATACATAATAGGTTAGCGAATAAAAGACTTTTGGTGGGGCTCAAGTTGCCTATTCAAACGCCGTGGAAGCCTCAGAGAGGGTATTGTTAACTCGCTCAAGATTGCCCGCTTAGTGGTGGTTTGAAGCAAAGACATGGTGCGAATTTTCTCAGCCTCTGATCTCCCAATGACATGCCGACGACAGGTCTGCAGATGCGTTTTGCTAGGGTTTTTGGTCTCTCATCATGCTACACTATGATGAAATGCTGTCGTTTGAGGCGGCGTCATCGCCCTAGTGTGACCATGGGGCGATTTTACCGGCGGGCGACTCGTTGGCCGATGGTTTGCGTCTGCCTCGTGTTTTCGTCGGAGTCATGTCAGTGTCGTGTTGCTGTAATGTAAACGCGCCTTTACGAAATTCTAATGTTATTTCCAAGTGGCTCTGTAATGAAATTCACCTCACAAGTGCAAAAACTTCGGCATGAGAGGTGTTATGTGGGATTCCAAGCTTGAGATTCAGCTTGCAGTGACCAGGTTGCTATGATTTGTTGCAATGTATAAAAGACAGAAACAAAACTCAAGCTGATGGCACCACTTCATCCTTCGTTTCACATTTCGCTATGCCTGAATGCATGTAGGAGTTGTTAAAATGCGTGTTTACCCAAAATTCTTCATTTCAAAAGTCATTGTTATTGACATCACCTGGTCAATTTACAATAAATTTAGATGCGTGGCAGCTCCACTGAGAAAAAAATTATTTCAGGAACCTTAATGCTTCAACTACTCAACGCCAATTCTGGAGCCCGTGAGGGGCTGGTATAATACAAATCTTTAAAATGTTAGAGTGAGAAAGGTGCAAGATCAAGGACAGCTTTACTGTCACCAAAATATTTGAAAACATGTACTGGTATGTCGCCCACTATAAGAAATGTTGTCAACTTCATAGAGACACGAAGCCCATAGTCCCCACATTGTGTCTGATGGGGGTGGGATCAAATATATACCTCAATTGAAGTGATGACAGAGTGCTGGCAACATTCAGAATAAAGTGTGCAAAAGGTACTACACGCAGAACACAGAACATAGTATTTGCCACTTATGCAGGAGCTCACAAAAGTGATTGGCTTAAGTTGTTGTGTGTAGCATTCCAACCGTAAAACATGCATGAGAAAATTCATGTATCACTGAATATAAATTATGCAGTTTGTGCAAAAGAGCTTTTTTTTCTTTTTCTTGTGACCAGTGCCAAAAGGTAGAAAGAGAGATGATAGGGCACAGCCAGTGTATGAAGACCACTTATGCAGGACACTGTTCATGCCTGTGACCAACTGTGATGATGATGATGTACATGGTTCAATGGCAGGTAGGCCAAGCCTTGAGTAAGAGTTCCATATAGTCAACTGTAATCCACCATTCAAGCAAAACAGTGTTATTCTTGCAAATCAACTTTCATTTCAAACAAATCAAAAATGTCAACCACGACATGCACACCAGTAGGCTTTTTTTTTTCCATTGAAAAAGAAACAACTTGTGTGCAATATATTTCGTTTCAAGTCTAGAAAAAAGAAAAGAAATTATTTTACTCCAAACAGAACACTAGAAAGAGAAGTAATGCTTAATATGACACTCATGCAAGACAGCTGCTACTGCTCCAAAATACAATATTTGAACTAGAGACACCATGCGTAACGACCTGTTCTGCATGGCAACCTACTAAGCCTCATGATCACTTAAGTTTGGAAGACAACTGTTTGTATACAGTATAGGAAGACAATATGACTTGAATAACATTTTTCAACACTTACATTGTTTATTATTTTTATTTTCCGAATACTGTTAGCCTTTCGGCTATTACAGGGGTGGGACATACTAAGAATTACAAACATCAATACATTCAAATCATACAGCAATTTAAACAGCAACACTTGAACTTGGGAATGTTACATGACAAACATTGGAAACACCGGCATTGAGGCTAAAGGAAAAACAGTGCAGTCGTAGTAAGTATACAAACAAATTACAATAAATTAACATAGTAGACCATGCTTACAGAAAAATATCTTTGAGCCCTTCCTTAAATTTTTCCAGTGAATCACAATGAACCAGTGGTAATGGCAAAGCATTCCACTGACGAATTGTTTTTTTAGAAAAAATGAATACGCATATACATTGACACAGTGTTGTGGCACTTCGTATGCGTAATCGTTTACACTTCTTAGGTTTATTCTGCGGTGTGGCGTTAAGTATTTTCTTGTGTTTATGTTTAATTTATTTTTTGACAATAAAAACACGAACTTCATCCTTGCCAATTGTCGTCGTTCGGCTAAAGTGGGCAGTTGAAGAGAGCGTAGCCTTTCTGTTACTGACTCAGTCGAGGATTACTTTGAAAGAATAAACCTGGCAGCTCGCCTTTGTACTCTTTCTAGCATATTAATGAGGCCGATTTCCGAGGGATCCCACACAATGCTGGCATATTCCAATGTTGGCTGAATATACGTAAGATATGCTGCTAGCTTAACGGGAGTCGTAGCAAGTCTTAGTTTTCTTCGCAAGTACCATAGTTTTCTCTTCCCCACAAGACAAATGTTTTCCAAATGGGTCCTCCAATTTAGATTACTGGATATTGTTACACCTAAATATTTTATTTCATTGACGGTAGACAGGCGGGTAGAACATAGAGTGTAATTGGAATGAAAGACACGCTTACTTTTGCTTGTGACGTGCAAAGCAACTGTTTTAGTTTGATTTATTTCCATCTTAGATTCAGTGCACCAATTACTGACAGCATCAAGAATATCATTAGGTGTTTTTGGGTCAGCTTCACTGTGTATTTCTTTATAAATTAGGCAGTCTGCAAAAAGTCACACTGTAGTACTTCTATCTATGCCGCATGAAATGTCATTTATGTAAGTTAAGAATAATATTGGTCCTAAAACTGAACCTTGCGGTACCCCTGAGGTAACGCTTAATGACTCAGATTTGAAGCCGTTTATTTCTACATATTGTGTTCTGCCTGTCAGGTACGCACTTATCCATTGTATTATGTTATAATTTATGCCTAGGTGTGCTAACTTATCAACTCCCTGTGAGGAACCTTGTCAAAGGCTTTGGAGAAGTCGAGACATATTGGGTCAATCTGAACACTATTATTTAAGACACGCGTGAAGTCATCGATTGTTTCTATTAATTGGATTAGAGTGGATAAATTCTGCCAGAAACCATGCTGATTAGGAAAAAATGTTTTTGTGCCCTCAAGATACGTATACATAGCTTTGGATATAATATGCTCTAAAAGCTTGCAGTACACACAGGTAAGGGAAATCGGACGGTAATTTTCCACCTTTTGTTGGTCTCCACCTTTATGCGTTGGCACGATCTTCGCCACAAGCGAGTCGTCTGGGGCACGCTTTTGTTCTATTGAGGCATTAATTATGTATAAATAGTGTGCAACCCATTCCACATACCTTTGCAGTAAATCATTTGGTATGCCATCTGGTCCGGTCGACTTTTTCACGTTCATGTTCAGTAATAATGATACGATGCCTTCATAAGTGATCTGAATGTCAGGCATAACTGATAACTGAGAAGGAAGTGGTGTGGATGCATCACCATCATCAGGACAAGCAGTAAACACCGACTGGAAAAATCTGTTGCGTAGGTAAGCGATGGAAGAGCAGTCGGTCACCAATTCATCATTAACAAGAGAATGCACGCGTCTTGAGTGGTCTTCCTTCTGAGACAAGTTCAAAAAATGCAATCACTCTGTGAAACCTGGCAGCTAAAAATGTGGACTTTGGCACACGAAATAAATTCAGCATCCAGTTCATTCCCCCCCCCCCCTTTTTTTTTTCTTTCACATTCTAATGTGGTGCAGCCCACGAACCTCAGGCGAGCATCCTTAGTTGAAATCTTGGGAAGAATACTAGGTTCGTCTGGAGGAAACTCACTACAGTCTTGAAATTCTGACATGCCTGAAACTGTCCAAGAATGGTGCAGCTTTTTCACCTCGGTAACACAGCGTGTTGAACCTGATGGGGGCTCCGTTTTTGCAGAGAGACAGTTGATGAGCTTTCTTGGCATAACTACCATTGGTTACATCACTGAGGGACTTGAGGCTGCCTGTACCCACGCAACTGGTCTGACCTAGCAGTTGCTCTGCAGCAAAACTCAGAGGTCGATTCAAGCTGGTGGACGATCGACAGTTGACAAGATTAGAAAGACGAACCGATTTCACCCTAGGCGTCAACGATGGAGTTTGAGAGTCAGAAAGGCAGTTCTTTTCTGAAACACATCTGGGTGCCAGCTCAAAGGCTTCGTCATCAGACAACGAACTTGCGCTGTCATGTGCTAGTGAGGCTGCAACAGAGTGTTTGTAAACTAGACGGAGCTCTTCGAGAGGCGTTTTTATAACAGGAAGGCTTTGACTTTTTTTTGTGCCACCTTTAATTCTTTCCTTCCGGGAGTTAAGCCGGGAGGGCCACTTGGGAGGGTCATCTTTACCGGCTGGTTGGTATCGATTCATTCTGGTATACAATCTTCATCTTCGATCACATCGCTGGAAAGAAATAACAGTAAACGAGAAGGCATGAGCTTCACTATGTTGTACGTACCCCCGGACCCCAAATTTTAAAGCAAGATACTTCTGTGCAACAGCTAAACACGGTCTCTGCACCACACGGCAGCCGTGAGTCGACACGTTCATGCAGTATAGATGGCCACTCGCAAACCTAATAATTCCGTTTTAAGCAGGTACACTCGATGAGGAATGTTCGCAGATTGTTCAAGCACTGAAAACTACGCAGTGTAATATTATTACGTTAAATGTGGCCAGCGGTGAAAACAATACGTACCAATCAACTGTCAACGGCACGGCAACAGTAGCAGCACCGTCAAAAGCCCAAATAGCAGACTGGTATATTAAGTAATAAGCGCTGTCAGGGCGTGCGTCAGCAGTAAACAATCAACTACTGGACGCGCCAAAACGCGGGAAATATTGTGGCATAGAGCTGCGAAACGAAAATCCCTAGCAGACACCACGGACGACTCACGTGAACAGGCAAAACAAACGTGATGCGCCTAGCGATTCCGCCAATAGATCCCTTACACAGTTGCAATCGACGGCAATATTGTGTCATGTTGTGCAACTGATTTAATTAAAAATACCGTTGTGTAAACGTTAGGTTTACTAGCATCACAGTTTTAAAACTTTTTTTTTGTTATTGAGTTAAGACTCACAAGCAGATAATAAAGAAATAGCGCTGCATGCACGGAAAGCTTGAGCGTGTTTCGAGTGGGAAAGATTGGAAAAAGCACATACATGGTCCCATTGCATCAATTTCACGCTTAAAATAATCTCTATTTGTACAGCTACAAATAAGAAAACCATGCTATCACGTTCAGTAACCAACATTTTTCACATATCCATAAAGCTAAATTGTTTAGCTTAGGGTCGCCGTAGATATTGTAAAATCGTTCTTTATTGTACAGTATTTTTTTGTTTGCGCCACACGCAAAACCACACCCACCGCTGATATAGCGAAGTGACTGACGCTATTAAATTGGTTTCGAAACTTCCAACTTCTTCCGGGTAAAATTGTGGAACTGGGCCAATGATTATGTTTATTCCAAACAGTGCTGTTTTCAAATGTACCGACCGATTAGAAGAAAGAAAAATGTAATGCTTGCATGATGCATTTTTATCTGAAAGAGTTTGAAGTTCAGCCCTTTGTTGTGGTCAGCTGTCGTAGAGAAGACGTACATTGAAAAAAGCTCGTGCTCTCTGACTCATGGGAAGCTACAAAAATCACAAAAGAAAATTACAGATAGTCAAGCCTCATAGATGACATGAAAATGGAAAGTTTGGTGAAATAAAAATGACGAGAACTGTGTTTTCATTTCAAATGTTGCATGTGAGATTGAAAAGTTCATGGGCCATTCCACACAAAATGTCCCAGCCATTTTGGCGCCATCTCAAACGTACTAAAAAAAATGTGCTGATATCTTGCATTGACAACAGCACATTTTCAGAATATTGCGAAGAGGAAAAATTTTTGACACGTAGAATCATTTCTAACTTCGTAGAATTGTCATCCGAGGAATTTTTATCAGAATATTTATTCTTAGAGTACTGTTGATTGTTTCAATACCATATTCGGTTTACATATTAAGTAACAGCGGATGTATGAGTCATTAGCGCAGTCAGGACTTCTCTCTTGGGGGGGGGGGGGGGGGGAGAGGTTGCATTTTGAGATAAAAGTAATTTACCAGATACATAATTATTATTATAATAGCTGTATTAACTGCAATAGTTCATATATTATTATTATTATTATTATTATTATTATTATTATTATTATTATTATTATTATTATTATTATTATTATTATTATTATTATTATTATTATTATTATTATTATTATTATTATTATTATTATTATTATTATTATTGGTTGGTCGGTTGCCAAAATTTATTGTGGTCCTGCAGGAAGGGGCGCGTTTGCGCTCACCGGGCGACTACCACGCCGGGACTGTTGGCGAAGCCTGTTAGGCTTGAAAAACTTTGAGAGGGCCAAGAAACCGTACGATGAAGCAGAGCACGTAGAAAATAAATGGCAAATCGAATAAAACACCGCGTAGCATATAGTTCGCAATAGAGATGTCTGGCAAATAGTTATTTTTTCTTGCTGGTCAGCTCTATTTCTTGATTAAGGTGCTGACGTGTCGGCCGGTGGGCGGTCAAACAATGCTGTTTAAAAATGATATAATATCTATGATAGAGCCAACAAATGGAACGCAAGAAAAGCACATGACGGCACCTGGCACAGTGTGCCTTTCTAGTATTCAATTTATTGTGTATTATTGGGTTTTACCTGAGTGATAAGTAAATTCCATACAAACAAGCCTCATGGCCAACTTTAGTAGGTAAATAACTGCAACAGAGGATTTTCTGGATAATGCGAACAGAATATACTATATGTTAAACTTTCCTTGAGCCTGGTCAGACTACAGCAATGTAAGTGCACCGCAAATATTGATTATAAGCTTTGCGGTATTGATTATACAGTGTATGTAACACAGCTCAACGCAGCGCACGAGCAGTACGATTCTAAGCTTACGGATCAATTTCATTGTAACTACGCTCACCGATTCGCAATGTCGTTCGGGTACTCAAGTTCGGCAACTGAAGCATCCCCAGGAATGACTGATTGATGGACGCATCTGACTGCGGCATGTGCCGAGAAATGGCTTTCTTTTTGGCCGTAATCAAGCATTCCGGTGCGTGTCTTGAATATTTATGCGGGATCTTTTTCGGGAAGTCGGTGAGGATCGTGTTCGACTGGCCCATCAGCGATGCCTGTGGTCTGTCTGGAAGCGCACGGCTGACGCACCTTCGCGCATCAGGCAAAGAGCGCAAGTTGTAGCGAATGAACTGGTGGTGATGGTAGTGGTTAGAAGAGGAAGATGGCGCCTAAATTCTGCAGCCTTGCAGGGAGCACGGTGCAGCGCCTGGTGACTTAACCTATATATGCATGCATGGGTGGATTCCGTTCAATCTACAACGTGAAAGAAAGAATGGGTTAAAGAAGAGAGCGTGACAGATGGCTCCTGAAAAAAAGTAAGAAAGAAAAGGTGAACTGCCCCCGATACATCCTTCGCAAGTTCACAAAGCAACTTTTCCTCATTATACCATGGCGTCTTACTGCCCGGCCCTCTTACCAACTGAAGGCTTCGCATGGCTGTCGTGCTTGCTTGGGGTCCCTGCGTGTGTGCGGTACTGCGGGGTGGCTGACGACCATGTTGGCTTGCTCAGAAAAGCAGAAACCACAGCGTCCGTATGGGCTTAAACTAATATCGCCATGTGCTTCTCCTGCAGAGCCTCCGGGGTTTGCGGTCGTTTGACGAACGAGCCGCGCGCGAGGCTGCCTTTCTTCTCGCCACCCAGTGCTCATCGTACGTACGCTGTCTATGAGAAAACGCACGACCACTCTTCTAGAGACACGTACGATGCGCCGCTATGTACGATGAAACAAGCAGACCGACGCTAGGCGCGTCTACATCAGTGACTCGGAGACCGGTTGACCCAACGAATCTTTCTAACTTTATCGACCACCCCATATATAGAGTGCATGCCGCATGGTGCCCTGTACATCTCTCTTCTGAGATGAACACACAACGAAAATACATCACATCACAAGTCAAGTCTTTTCAGAGTCTTAATTCGGCGACCTAACCTGGTGACTCTAACTCCGCCTTCATTGGAGACGTCGCTGTTCTCGTAGCGTCTGTAACAGTGGCTTGCTCTTCGTGTCTTGTTCTCTCCGGACGCTAACTCGTCGATTTGGCTCGTCGTTGAATCCGAATAGGGCACTAGATGTATTCTATTACGCACAAGTGCTGTGGAAGGCGTTTCCACGACGTACGAGCGAGGCTTGGAGGCTGAGCTGAAAACGCAAGCCGTTTCTTTGACGTCTCGAACCCACACCATGTCTCCCAGCTCCAGTGGAAAAAAAAAAGACAGTCGTGGCACGACGACGATCGAAGTCTTTCTTCTGTCGTCTTCTTATCTGCTCGTCTTGGCACTTAACAACTTCGGGTAGGGTGGCTACTTCGGGCTCAGGCCGTGCGGTCAGAGGCAATCCACCGGCTTGGGAAGTCTCGTTCGCAGGCTACGGCCCCCGAGGAGCTTTGCTGGGCTAAACCCTGTGACGCCTGCAGTATCTCTGTAAGACAGAAATGCCAGAAAAAGACCTGCGTTCTCAAACAATTATTCAACCGTGCGCACCATCCTCTCAACTTCCGCGTTAGACTGCGGGTAGTTTGGACTTGAGCTGACGTGTTCGAAGCCACAGTGCTTCGCAAAAGTAGCGAGTGCAGGTGAAGTGACGGGTGGTCCAATATCGCTTCGTACAACTGCGGGGATGCCGAAATAAGCGAAAAGGCTCTTGACCACAATGATGACTGGCTCAGACTTCGTGCTTTGCACGTATATCACTTCATGGTAGCAAGAACGATAACCTACCACTAGGAGGTAGTTATGTCCCCTGTGAGTGAATAAGTCCATTCCGACTTCTTAGTTGTCGTGGTTGCGTTAGAGTTTCTATCACAATCAATGGCTCACTTCGATCGTTGTGCGCTTCTGGTTGCACAAAGCCTACCGCGACATTATTTGCTGTGAAAGCCCGTAGTACCACATGGAGTCTTGTGCTCTCAATCGGCATCGCTTGATACCTTGGTGGCCTTCATGAATGAGTTCGAGCGTATCCGTTTGAGGTGAAGCCGGGATGACAAAGTGGTTACCCTTGAGAAGGACGCCGTTGCACAAAGAGAGATCACCTCGATGCTACCAGTACTTCTTATGTGATCTGGAAGCCTGTTTCGACGAGGCCAGCCCTGGGTGCAATACTTGACGAGCTGGATGCATTCCCCATCCAGTAATTCGTGCCTGCGGACATCTTCTACAGTAACGAGCTTCAAGTTAGTGACCACTCAAACTTGATATTCCACGAACTTCTCCACCCCATTCACCAAAATAATCGATGGCTCCTCGTCCGGAGCCCTTGAGAGACTATCGGCAGTGGCAAGCTCTTTGCCTGGAACGTAGACCACGTTGAATTGGTAGCGCATGAGTATGATGCGGAAGCTTTCCATTCGTGGAGGCATCATGTCCAGGCGAGCGTTTCTAAGTAATGTCACCAGCGGCTGCTGGTGATCTGTTTCCACCGTGAACTTGGGGCCCCGCACGTACTGGTCAAAACGGTGCACAGCCCTTGCTACCGCCAAGGCTTCTTGCTCTGTTTGGCTGTAGCGTTTCTCCCCGTCAATTCGCGACCGTGAATGAAACGCTATAGACCGCGCGTCGCTCCCACGATTACATATTCTGCAGAAGAACCATTCCCAATTCAAATGAGGTTGCGTTGCACGATACAATGGTATTGCGACCGGGATGATACTTCGCAACGCAAAGGTCCGACGTGAGCATCGCCTTGATCCAATTAAAAGCGATCTCTTGAAGCAGTCCCCATTCCCATGCATTCTGCTCGCCTAGCAA